TAAAGCCAAAGAGAACTAAGGCCCTTTCCACACAGATGAATAAAATCCCACATTTTCTGCTTTGAACTGGGATATATGGCAGTGTGGACTCAAGGCCCTTCCACACAGCCCTATATCCCACAATATCAAGGCAGGAAATCACACATTATCTGAGTGTGGATTCGGATTAACCAATTCAAAGCAGATATTGTGGGATTTTCAGCCGTGATATTCTGGGATATAGTGCTGTGTGGAAGGGCCCTCAGATAACTCAATTCAAAGCAGTTATTGTGAGATTTTCTGCATTTATATTCTGGGTTATATGACTGTGTGGGAGGGCCCCAAATCTCCTTAACCTAGGAATACTCAACGGCTATTTTTCTATTGCCTTCCTCTGAAATATAGCCTAAAGCACCTGGTATTCATTGGCAGTCTCCCCTCCAAGTACTAAATTGAGCTGATCCTATGTAGCTTCCCAGATCAGATGGGAATTAGGACTATTTGGGCCCTACTGAATTTTTTTTTCCAATCGACTTACAATGCCTGCTTAAATGCATGTTTCCACTTCCCCGTAAGCACTTTTTCTTTTCTATCTTGGGTAATGTTAAGAATAGGGGGAAAAATCCTCTTGCATAGATATGTATGAAACTAAGCCTGAGCAAAAGTGATTTCAAAAGCCTAAGGCATGTCTGAATGTGGGAGGAAGAATTAGCTTTCAGGGCTATAGACCTGGTATTCAGTCGCAGTCAGTGACACTTAGAATAAGGACTGGACAACACTTCAGCCACAGAGCTGTTAAGATTGTGCTGTGAATGTTACAACTAGTGCCTTATTTTATCACCGCATGTAGATCTGCAGGATGCAACTTGACACAAAATTGTAATAATAGTTTGCAAGTGTCACTGATAATGTAAGAATTTCAACCACAATCCCGAAGATCATCCAGAAGGAAGTATGTTAACATGCCCGATTTTTTTATCCCTGCATAACTTACAACAAGCCAGACCTTCTCAGAGTTTTTTTAAAAAACTGGCTGTGCATTCATTCTTTTTAAGGTGCTGTCCAAATCTGTTTGGTCACACTTGCCTATTTAAAGCTCATTTCATATGCAGTGAATTTCCTTGGAGAACTGGCACAAAGAAAGTGGGTGAGGAGAGGAGGAGGAGGAGGAGGAGGAGGAGGAGGAGGAGGAGGAGGAGGAGGAGGAGGAGGAGGAGGAGGAGGAGGAGGAGGAGGAAGGAAGGACAGCTTTTCAAGCCCAACCAACCCTCCTGGAGATATGAAAAATGTGGAGAGAAACAAAAAAACATATTCTTTCCCCCATCAAAAAAAAAATCAAGGAAATATGTGTGTGTGTTTTAGTTTTCAAAAATATCTTAGATGTTCATGGTTATAATATTACCCCAGCTTTTTTTCCAAGTCTATTTAAAACATGGGGCCCCTGGTGGCACAGTGGGTTAAACCACTGAGTTGCTAAACTTGTTGACCAAAAGGTCATAGGTTCGAATCCGAGGAGCGGTGTGAGCTTCTGCTGTCAGCCCCAGCTTCTGCCAACCTAGCAGTTCGAAAACATGCAAATGTGAGTAGATCAATAGGTACCACTCCAGCGGGAAGGTAACGGCGCTCCATGCAGTCCACATGACCTTGGAGGTTTCTTTTTTTTTTTGTCGTGTCATGAGAGATTTGAGAAACTGCATGTCGCGTCTGGTGTGAGAGAATTGGCCGTCTGCAAGGACGTTGCCCAGGGGACGCCCAGATGATTTGATGTTATGTCATCCTTGTGGGAGGTTTCTCTCATGTCCCTGCATGAGGAGCTGGAGATGACAGAGGGAGCTCATCTGCCTCTCCCCGGATTCGACCCTGCGACCTGTCAGTCTTCAGTCCTGCCGGCACAGGGGTTTAACCCACTGCGCCACCAGGGGCTCCTTGGAGGTGTCAATGGTGTCACATTATCAGCTTTGAACTGGATTATATGGCAGTATAGACTCAGATAATCCAGTTCAAAGCAGATAATGTGGATTATCTGCTTTGATAATCTGGATTATATGGCCGTTTAGAAGGGCCCTGAGTTTTCCCAAATGTTAACTGATTTGTGAATAACTGATCCAGTTGATCTACTCTATTTGGAACAAGATTCCCAAACATAATGTCTTTTACTGCCTTAGCAAGATAACACAGAGCCAATATACATTCATTAGCAAATAAAATTATACTATTATTTGGCATCGTCATGAAATTTACAGAGCAATTTTATGACTTTAAATATTTCAAGATGTCTTTATGGTAAAAACAGGCACAAAGTGGCTGACATAAAAATAACTTTGTACACAAATATTCTCAAGTAAAATCTGCTCCGCTTAATAAGGCTCGTTCCCAGCACTTCGTGCCATTTTGAGGGAAAAAAAGGAAAACCAATGTTGAAAATTCAAACAGATTTCATAAGAAAGCAAAACAAAATGCATTGTTTACATAGACTTCACACCGCAACCACAATTATAATTTAAGACAAGCAATTTAGGGTTTGTAACAACACTGGGAATTATGGTTTCTGATGCACTTCAAAGAATGACCATTCTCCACTGCTGTAGGTTGGCTTACACAAAAGTATCCTATTGCAGATTTAGTTCAATCCAAAAAAGAAAGCTGTCCATTAGAGAGGGAAATAATGTTTTCCTCTGAGAATTTCCCATAGGATCAGAGAATCACGGAGTTGGAAGAGACCACATGGGCCATTATAACATACACAATCAAAGCACTCCTGACAGATGGCCATCTAGCCTCTGCTGAAAAACCTCCCTTAATCTACATCCCTTGATCTCAACACTATTCTCATATTGATGTAACTTAGGGCCCTTCCATAAAGCCATATAACCCAGAACATCAAAGCAGAAAATCCCACAATATCTGATTTGAATTGGAATATGTGGTAGTGTGGACTCATAACCCAGTTCAAACTAGATTTTGCTTTGAACAGAAGGGCCCTTAGAATTGCATTGGCTATTTAACTTGCTACATCACACTGCTAAGCCTTGAGCCCCATCTATAGTGTATATAATGTAATTTGAAACAACATTATATGGTCAGTATAGACAGAGGTGGCCCTAGGTAATTTTCAATGGAAAGCAAACAGTATTTTGCCCTCCCCTCCCCAACCAATCACTGATATATATGGCCTGGGTAACAACGGAAAAATTTGTTTCTAAAATCGATTTGTATTTGGGGGTTTTTTTTGTTTCGATATTTAAAATAATTACAAAATTTTCCTTTTAAAAAGTTCGATATTTACGAAATTTCGTAAATGGTAAAAAATTAACGAATCGATTTCCGAAACAATAACGAATCGATTCGTTAATGGCGGCGCGACCGCGAAATACGCTAAAAAACCTCCAAAACCTTCTGAAGCTTCCCTCTCCCTCTGTTGTTGACTGTTGGTGTGATATTATAATTTTTTTTCACTAATTAAACCATAAAACTGGCCCAGACATGCGGAAATAATAACAAAACGACCTCAAAACAATAACGAAACGAATACAATATCGAAATACGAAGCATTTACAAAACGTTTTTGAAAATTCGTTTTTTTTAATAATTGCTCCAGAATGGTTCGTTATCATTTTGTAATTGAAAAAATTAACGAATTATTAACGAATTACGAATTAACGAAACGAAACTGCCCAGCCCTAATATATATGTTCTGTTCGTCGTGGGAGTTCTGTGTGCCATATTTGGTTCAATTCCATCATTGGTGGAGTTCAGAATGCTCTTTGATTGTAGGTGAACTATGCATCCCAGTAACTACAACTCGCATATGTCAAGGTCTATTTTCCCCCAAGAGCACCTCAAGAGCACCCCTGGGCAACATCAACTATACTGCAAATGCTTACTTTGCGTAATGGGTTGAGCCGCCCCTAAGTATAGACCAGGCATGGGAAAACTTCAGCCCTCCAGGTGTTTTGGACTTCAACTCCCACAATTCCCAACAGCCAGTAGGCTGTCATTACAGCTGAAGTTTGCCCATGCCTGGAGTAGACTCATATAATGCAATGTAACTATACTGAACAGCATTATAAGACTCTATCCTCAGTTTCAAACTGCATTATATGGCAGTTAGATTCAGGTTTGTAATCTACTAAGTGATGTGCTACTCTCTTTCCCTAGATTAGGAAAACCTGAACAATCTATGTCATAAAGAGAGATTATTCATTCATGATAGATTCTGACATTTGAGTGAATGTGGAAGACATGGCCAAACCAGTTATTTGAACACAGAGAGAGGAAAACTGCCTTTACAAACGGCTTATTTGCGTATTTAAAGCCCTGAACGGTTTGGGACCACCCTACCTGCGTGACCGCATCTCCATCTACGAACCCACACGCTCGCTCCGGTCACCTGGGGAGGCCCTGCTCGTGATCCCACCCACATCGCAAGCGCGCTTGGTGGGGACACGGGACAGGGCCTTCTCTGTGGCGGCCCCCCGACTTTGGAATGCCCTTTCAAAAGATCTTCGACAGGCCCCTACCTTAGCAGTTTTCAGAAGGAACCTAAAAACTTGGCTGTTCCGATGTGCCTTCTCAGATTAGGAATCCCCCATCCCAAGTCCTAGAAGCACTTTAGCACAACCGATGTTACTGCACACCGCACCTTAATCCTACGTTCCTCCTGCCATTTCAGCACTTTTAACCTCTGTACCCCATTGCGCTGGCTGAACCAGTTTTTAATAGTGTCTTGATGTAGTCATTGTTGTTATTTTGCTTAATTGTTTTGATTTGCTTTGTTTATTATTGTGTTATGTCTCTATTGTATTGTGTTTTGAGGCTTCGGCCTGTGTAAGCCACATCGAGTCCTGCGGGAGATGCTAGCGGGGTACAAATAAAGTTATAATAATAATAATAATAATAATAATAATAATAATAATATTTGGCCACAAAGGAGCCTCCATCTAACTGCCTATCTCACCATCTGCTTCATTCCTCTTCACATACAGATATCTCTCAAAAGAATTACAAGGTCAAATACTTACTGGCCAGCTTTATGGAGAAGGGGTGCTGGACAGAGCATGAAATCAGATTCCACCTGCATGGGTTTCTCCTCTGGAAAAAAAAGGTATTATATTATATCAATGCACTCTACTCTTTTCCTAGATGAGAAGCTGATCTTCCAAATTTATGACATGTACAAGAGGTAGGCACCCCACAAGTATCTGGGGTCTACATCTATCTCATTTCTCTCTCACACACATACACACACACACACCACAGAACCTCAAAGAGCACGTTGCTGGAAATGGCTAAGATCCTGCCTATCTTCGCAACCACATCCCCCCTATGAACTAGTGAGGGCTCTAAGATCTGCCAGGGAGGCCCTCCTCTAGGTCACAAGCACAATTGGTGGGGATGAGGGAGAGGGCCTTCTTTGTGGTGGCCCCCAGGCTTTGGAATGCCCTCCCCAAGGAGATTAGGCAGACCCCCACACTGTCCTTTCATAGGGACTTGAAGACGTGACCATTCAAACAAGCTTTCAAGAACACCTAGTCCCTAGTTGTTCTGTGCAACAGTCACACAGCCTTGCATTTTATTCCATGCCCTCTATCCATTGTTACAGCTCTGCATTATCCCATTCCTTTGTCCTATTGTTTACAATCTGGCCATGTTTACAACAGCTTATCACCATTGGTGGATGAGCACAGTTTTATTGAGTCTTAGTTGATGTTTTATATCTGCCTGTTCTCACTTATTGTATTTTGCACTGTGTTTATTTTATATATATGTTTTTAGGCACCTTGGGCCATGTGTAAGCCGCCCCAAGTACGTTTGGGGAGATGGTGGCAGGATACAAGAATAAAGTTGTTGTTGTTGTTGTTAGAAGCACAATAAGATAAGTTCACAGCAGACACTCTGCTGCTGGCTGTTGCATTGAATCACACATTGGACACTTCCCAAGTGTATAGGACTGTGTGATGTATTGGCAAATAATACGTGCAGATCCCAGTAAGGTGGCCTTCTGCAGCTGGAAGATGGTAATTTTGTCTGTGCAGATTGTGTTTAAGTGCAGGCCAAGGTCTTTAGACACTGCGTCCAGTGTGCCGATCACCACTGGGTCTACCTTTACAGGCTTGTGCCAAAATCTTTGCAGTTCGATCTTTAAATCCTCATATCATGTCAGCTTTTCCAGTTGTTTCTCTTCAATCCTGCTGTAACCTGGGATTGCAACATCGACAATCCATACTTTGTTTTTTAACATGATTGTGAGGTCAGGAGTATTGTGTTCCAAAACTCTGTCTGAATTGGGAAGTCCCAGAGTAGTTTGACATGTTCATTTTCTGTAATTTTTTCAGGGTTGTGATCCCACCAGTTCTTTGTCTAAGGCAGATGCTATTTGTGGCACAAGTTCCAATGAATCATCTGAGCAATAATGTTATGCCTCTGCTTGTAGTCTGTCTATTATTATTATTATTATTATTATTATTATTATTATTATTATAAGTGAAAATGGTTTTGTTCTGGAGCCATTTTTCAGGGACCTGAAGTCCAACAGTCCGGAGGAATGCTTCAGTAACATTCATACATTTTCACCCCTTTCCATTATCTAGCAGAAACAAAACAAATAATATATATGCTGGGGGAAAAATACCAAATGTTTGCTAGAGAAGAAGTAGAGAAGGGAGAGATCAACTGAGGAAATCTAAGGCTAGTAGGTAAAAATTTAGCAAGTATTTAAAATGCAGTAAGGCTCAGCTGATTTCTCCCTATTGGCCATGCTGGGAGTTTCCCTTGGTCCTATAGCTTCCCTGTAAAATTGAGTACCTTCCCCCTTAAAATAAAGAATAACCTGAGCTGCTGCACTTGCTGATCGAAAGGTTGGCAGTTCGAAATCAGAGAGCAGGGTGTGCTCCCTCTGTTAGGCCCAACTTCTGCCAAACTTGCAGTTTGAAAACATGCAAGTATGAGTAGATCAATAGGTTCCGCTTCTGCAGGAAGGTAACGGTGCTCCATACAGACATGCTGGCCACATGACCTTGAAGATGTCTATGGACAACACCAGCTCGTCGGCTTAGAAATGGAGATGAGTACCACCCCACAGAGTCAGACACAACTAGACTTAATGTCAGGGGAAACCTTTACCTTTACTTATCAGCCTTTTTCCTAAAATGACAATATCTATCAATCTCAGTGAGGAGAACACAAGTGACTTAAATATAGTCTAAGGCCCCGTCTACACTGTCATATAAAATCCTGATTATCTGCTTTGAAGTGGATTATATGGCAGTGTAGATAGCCTAAAGTTCTCGCTGCCTTCTTGTTTTATTGAGCCCTTGCAGCTCAGGTCTATTTTCCTATTGGGTTATAGTATGGAAACTATCGACATTAGTAGCTCTTCACTTCCATGTCAGTTGGTTGATGAATTCACTGCATATTTTGTTGGTTCTTTACACTGCTTTGAAGGAGTTATCCCAGGTGCTGAACCCAGTCTTTGAACAACGTGAAGGATGCTGCCCAAACTGGTGAATGTATTTGGGGGATAAAATTTGGTACCATAAATTTCCCCTTTTAGGTTTTGTGTGTGTGTCAGGAGCAACTTGAGAAACTGCAAGTCGTTTCTGGTGTGAGAGAATTGGCCGTCTGCAAGGAGAATTGGCTGTCTGCCCAGGGGATGCCCGGATTTTTGATGTTTTACCATCCTTATAGGAGGCTTCTCTCATGTCCCTACATGGGAAGCTGGGGCTGACAGAGGGAGCTCAACCCACTCTAGGGGGTCAAAACCCAGGTCACCGCCTCATTGAAATGGAAGCCATCAGCCTCCACTGCCTGTTGGACCCACAAGAGGTGAAATGTATGCAGCACATTTTGCATTAAATAATTAGTTCCAGATCGACTACTGGCAAGAACAGAGCGGGTTTGCATATGCACATATGCTTTTGTCTTAAATGCCCTCATTTTAGAGAGTAGTGAGGGAGGGAAGGTTGGTCTTCTGCTATTGCCTTTGGCACGTTTCCTTTCTACCATTTGGCAATATTTTTCCCCTCATTATATGAAGGGAGAAAATAGATCCCAGCCAAGATTTTATAATGATTTAATGAGGAGAAAATAACACCCACACATAATATCTATATCCACAGAAGAATATGTAGAACTTGAACTCTCAGACCAGTTGCTCACTTAACACATTCTGCCTTTCTTCTTCAACATAATACAATTTAGTATGTTTCACAGTATTTCTTCCCAGTTTAGTGGCTCTACATATGTTCTGGATTAGGCTTCCTATCATCCCTAGGTACACTGGAAAGCTGGATAGTATAGCCCAGCATAACTGGAGGATAACAGATTGCAAATGGCTGTTGTGAAGCAAGATTTTCCATAGTAGGGAACTAAGTTCAAAAAGTAACTTTCCCAAGTGATGCCAAAAGTCCCCGTGGCTTTTCTTCCAACACATCCCTGCTCATAATGTCCCCATGCTGGCTAGGGGATCTGGGAGTTCTAGTTCAATGGGAACATATGCTAGTAGTGGGCAGTGTTTACAATCTTTTCAGAGTGCAGAAGTATTTGTTTTCCCTTTGCAACTCCATCACTTTTCTACCTCTCGAATGCATATACATAGAAAAAGAATAAGAGAATTCAATTAGCAGAGAGGCAAATAAGAGAAACAGATTCTCCCTGTTTGGAAGGAATAAGAGCTGCATTGCATTAACATTTGGGCAGAAGGGGCATCATCCTCACACTTATATAGAGGTCCAATTATACTTGAAGTATTTTGCATTTGGGTAGACATGCCTCAAATTGCACTGTCAGTCCAAGGCCCCTTCTACACTGCCATATAATCCAGATTTATTTTCTTTTTTGGTCGTGTCAGGAGTGATTTGAGAAACTGCAAGTCGCTTCTGGTGTGAGAGAATTGGCTGTCTGCAAGGACGTTGCCCAGGGGACGCCCGGATGATTTGATGTTTTTATCATCCTTGTGGGAGGCTTCTCTCATGTCCCCGCATGAGAAGCTGGAGCTAACAGAGGGAGCTCATCCGCCTTTCCCCGGATTCGAACCTGCGACCTGTCGGTCTTCAGTCCTGTTTAACCCACTGCACCACCGGGGGCTCCATAATAATCCAGATTATTAAAGCAAATAATCCGGGTTTTATATGGCAGTGTACAAAGGGTCTAAATGCTTTCATATGTTTAGTAAGTTTTTATTAAGTCAACATTAGTCTGATATTGAGATTGTAAGGTCCCTGGAACAAGAGTAGAATGTGTTTCTCATTTTAGTCTGTAGTACACTACACGCACTGATAATGCACAATACATACTAAAAACACGACTACTGATAAATAATAACAGCATTGTTGTTGCTTAAGACACCAGAAGCACAGCAATATGTAGGAAAGGGAGCAGAGGCAAGAGATTCTGACTTAACAATTTAATTGTGTAACACTCTTTTATGTTTTTTGCAGATACTTACTCATTTCTGTTCCATTTACAATATAGGCGCAGACAACACTCTCCTTTGACCTTCCCAAAGTAAAACCACTTCCTCTTAAAACAACCTGAAATTTCTCTGAAAGTAAATGAACAAACACATAAGTATGTAGCCCCATAAACAAAATAAATTATACCAATCAAGTTTCATCTCTGGCTTGGAGTCTGATTATTGTTGTTGTTACGTGCCTTTACAACAAGTCTGGCTTATGGAAACCCTATTCCAGGTGTTTTGTGGCAACATTTCTTCAGAGGGGATTTGCTATTGCATTCCTCTACATATGAGAGAGCAATAATTTCCTAAGATTTCCCACTGGGTTTCTATGGCTGAGCGAAATCTGGAGGATTTTTTCAACATATTCCAAGGCTTGCTCTCCAAATGTGCCACAATCTTCCCCACCAAATAAAGACATAGGTGGTTTGATGTATGACAGTGGTTCTCAACCTGTGGGTCCCCGGGTGTTGTAATTCAGCCAGCTGATGATAAGGATGAGGGGTTTGGGGGTGCAAGGTCTTCACGACCTGATGGTTCTGGAGGTACTCAGACTGATGGGATGTTGGAACAGGATGGTGATTCCTCTGTTGGGAAAACGGTGGGGAATTTGAAATTATATGTTGATTCTCTGTGTGAAAATGAAACTGCTTTAGAAGCTGACAGGCAGAGAAGGCAGGAGGGCATTGAGCTCACCCGATGCAGAGGGGTTGGACAGAGTATCCAGGCTGCTCCTGCGGGGGGAAAATTCCAGGTGCAAGCCGAGCCATGGAAAAGGGAGGCAGGGACAGGCTTCTCAAGGCCAACAGAATGCCTTCATGCATTGCTATCCTTAAATAGGGATAGGAAGCTCTTAGGTTTCAGATTAAGCAATGTCACAAATGGAGTAAGAAGCTCCTGCCTTGTTCCTGGCGATATCTTAGCTTCAAGCCAAGTTTCCTAGTCAAGTTTTGTTATCAGTCTTGGGGATTTTACCATGGACTCAAGCTCATGTTTTGTTCCTTGTTTCTTGGACTAAACAAGCTCATGTTTAGTTCTTGGTCTGTTGGATTAATCAAGCTCATGTTTTGTTCCATGTACCTTGGATTAATGATCATGCTTTAAGCTTTGCATTAGAGATTTATCTCTGGCTTTTTGAGACTTTTTCTCTCTTTACATATTTGGATTTTTACCCTTTTACTGTGTGTGTTTTACCAATAATCTGTTTATTACTACATTTGGCTTTCTGGTGAGTGCTTGAGCAAGGCGAACTCTAGCTGAGGTGCAACACCAGGTGCTTTGGCCTATAACTCCCAGAAATCCCGGCTAGTTTACCAGCTGTTAGGATTTCTGGTAGTTGAAGGCCAAGACATCTGGTGACCCACAGGTTGAGAACCACTGATGTATGAGTTCAGCTTCACATTTATTGTTCTCTCTTTCTGAATATACATACTTGAGAAAACTATTATAGACAAAGAGACAGGCTTCCTCCTCTATTCCTAGTTATACAGTGTTTTAATTGCTTTTAACAGTTGTTACATATTTATTAAATATGGTTTTAATTGCCTTGTTTTAATAATTGTATGCTTAATTCTATTTTGTAGGTTTTTAATTGTATTGTTTTTAGGGTTTTGAAGTGCTTTGGATCTTGATCAAGAAAGAAAAGCGGGATATTGTTGTTATTGTTGTTGTGGTGGTGGTAGTGGTGGTGGCGATGGTGATGATGATGCCACTATGGGTACCATCAGTTGTAAGATGTGCCATAATTTCAGTATAGCCACCACCAACAAAAAACATAGGATACACTTGTGACTCTAAAGCATACTCCATTTTTAGAGCTGTTTATATAGGGGGGAAAGTGTGTCTTAGAATTGAAAAAAATGCAGTAAGTGATAAATCCCTGCATCAACATAGACCTGTGAAGTCACCCTCTCTTTTTAAGCCAACTTCACATGACTTTTCTGCAGGTAGAAGAACAGGATGTTGGTGAAACAAACTATAACCATTTTACAACCCAGCTGCTCCTGGATTTCTTGGAGGGAAACCACAGCAGTTTAAATGTGTAATGCAGAGTCTGGCAAAGGAAGGAAGCACCTTTAATACACATCTTCCTACTCAGCATATGGAACTGGAAGCTACAAGGAAGTAACAGCAGGATCGTCAATGTTTGCACACTGTTTTCCAGCCCCAGCTAACTCACCTCCTACACAAACGCTCGAGGGCTCCAGATATAAAATCTCTGTGCACGACTGTTTCAATATCTGTTTGAAGAAATTGAAATAATCTGTTTTATTTTAATTTTTTGTTGCAATGTTGACATACAAAACTGCAGGGGTTTTGATGAGCCACCCTATCAAGCAGCCATAGAAAGCAACAGCTGACCTGGGAAGATGTTATAATGGATAAAATGGCCCTGTCTAGCTCATTGTCATTTACTACAGATTTGAAAGTATGGAGGTCTCTGTAGATTTGAAATGTTGGATTACCTTAGATGACCTTTTTTGGATTGTTTTCCATTATTTGTGTGACTCAGAATGAGGGCCTTTCCACACAGCCCTATATCCCAGAATATCAAGGCAGACAATCCCACAATATTTCCTAGTTACAACAGACCTCACAACCTCTGAGGATGCCTGCCATAGATGCAGGCGAAATGTCAGGAGAGAATGCTTCTAGAACATGGCCATATAGCCCGAAAAACTTACAACAACCCAGTGATTCCAGCCATGGAAGCCTTCGACAATAGATTAATCCCACAATATCTGCTTTGAACTGGGTCATCTGAGTCCACACTGCCATATAACCCAGTTCAAAGAAGATAATGTGGGATTTTATTCAGCTGTGTGGAAGGAGCCTGAATGTGCCAGTCTTTAGACCTCCAAAATCAGCACAAATACAAAGTTTGGTAGAAATATGGGAGTTTTCATAGATTTTATTTCATGGGCTTCAGTGAGTTTGGGAGCAGCTTCAGAAAAATAAGTTAAATTACATCATTCGAAGGGGAGGTGTGAGTTTTCTACATTGGTATTTTATTTATGGATTTTTTTTAAAAAAAATTACAAACATTAAGATGCTCAAGGTAGGATGAAAAAATAAATACAGGCATTCTTTATCCAGATATAAGAAATCTGAAATGCTCCAAATGCAAGTCTGGCTAAATGAGTGTCTGAGACAGCAAAACCTTTGCTTTCTAATGTTTACAAACTTTGTTTCATACACAAAATATTGTACAACATTACTTTTAGGTTATGCCCGGCATGGGCAAACTTTGGCCCTCCAGGTGTTTTGGACTTCAACTCCCTACCGGCTGTTAGGAATTTTAAGAGTTGAAGTCCAAAACACCTGGAGGGCCAAAGTTTGCCCATGCCTGAGCTATGCAAATAAGAGGTATATGAAACATAATAAGTTTCATATTTAAATCTGGTCCCCATCTTTAAAATATCTCATATGCAAATCCATGCATTCCAAAATCTGGGGGGGGGGGGATCTGAAATCTCAAATACTTCTAGTCCTGAAGTATTTCAGATAAAAGATACTCAACCTGCATCATGAGGGGTTTTTTAAAACCAAAATTAAATACAATATCCAAAAACTTAAAAGCAGAACAGCAACAGAAGAAGCAGACACAAATATAGCAAATGTAACATCAAAATGAAAGAAACTAATAATCAATGCTAAAGATTTATTGTGATAAGTTGACTTTTAGTAACTGCCTATACATTGGTTTTTGTTTTGTTTTTTTAAAGAAGGGACCAGGTGAATTTCCTGAAGTAGAAAGTTAGTCTGATTGAACAGTTTGTGGCAAGAGCTTGATAATGAAGGGGAAACTGCTCTTTAAAATATACTGAATCCATGACATTTAGGTAATAGGTAAGGTAATAGCCACATTTAATTAAAAAAACTGACATGCAGAAAGTCCTGAAATGTGGAAATATGGTCCAGGCTTTAGCAGGCTGACAGTTTAAAGCCCGAGTCAGAGTACGCTCTTAACCCAGCTTTTGCCTACCTAGCAGTTTTGAAAACAGCAATGTGAGTAGATAAATAGATACCACTCAAGCAGGAAAGTATTTAAGGCACCCATAAGGAAATGCCAGAGATTCAACCAAGGTGGAAATTTACGAACAAAGCTGTTCGGCAGGAAAAGTGGAGCAACATCACCCCCAGTGGTCGGAAGTGAGAATAGCCTCCAATATGCCAAAGAAAGGAAAGCCTATATTGGTATTAATGTTTGCTGTATATGCGTTTTGTGATCCACTCTGAGTCCCCTTCAGGTGAAAGGGGAAAGTATATAAATACTGTAAATAAATAAATAAATAAATTCTCCAAATTACAAAAAAAAAATCTTTGTTCATGTATTCAGTGATGAATTAAGTCAAAAATTACACCCCTAATAACCATGAAGAATTAATGAATGGTAGGCGAATGAAGAGAAATGAATATTGTAAATCTATTCTGCTGCAGATATTCTGATTTTTCACAAGCTGACTGCCAATCTGGAAAACTTTAAAAGAGGACTGGATAAATGCAACTGAGGTGGGGATGAGTTCATCAATGGCTTCTATTTAGGGTGGCCAAATGTCACCTTCAGTATCGGGAGTAGGAAACTGAGCAGTGGAAGACAAAGCAGTGCAATTGAGCTTGGGTTGTCCTTTTGGCCAACTGACTGGCCCTTCTATGAACAGAATGCTGGACTAGACAAGCCTTTGGACTGATCCAACACAGCTGTTCTTATGACCTTCTGCTTGTACAAGTCTCCATTTGTATATGCAGATGGAGAAACAAGATTATTCAGAGAGAAACAGGACTGATTGCCAAAGACTAAGGTCACCAGGAGGAGGAAGAAGTCTTTGACTGAATACCCCCTTTACTTTCTCATAAATGATTTCAGCAATTCACTCTAAAAGCATAGTAAGAAATCAGAAAATGAAAAGACTTCATCATCCACTACTCTGGCACACAACGAAGAAACTGGTTCCAGAGTTTCAAGGAAAAGAGCCAGAAAGAATGCCTTTAAAGTGGTTCACCCTAGCTAGCACACAGTGCTGCATAAGCATCAAACAATTATCCTTGCTGATGAAAATTGTATCTTATTCACAGAGAAAAGCAAGAATAAGACATTCAATCCCAGTAGAGAAAGCAGGCCCTTTAATTTTTATGTGCATTACTTCACTCTGCTTGCCCACAGTTCCTGTTGCAACAGCAGAAAGCTTGATGCAAATCACAATTACGAAATCCCTTTGCCTCATTGTATTTCAGTTGCTTTATAAATATACACAGCGCAACCAAAATGCACATGTAGAAGAGAGTATGGTTTGTTGAGGTCTGCAGGGAGTAATAACAACAACAACAACAACAACAACAATAAACTAGCAGTGCCCTGTAACACGTTGCTGTGGCCCAGTCTGGTGCTCTGGAAAATAAAGTAATGAGAAAGTGTTGGTTTCCAATCTATGTAATTTATTTCTGCTTGTGGGTAAACAGTATTTCTTGCTGTTTCTTTGTCAGTGTTGATGTGGAGATTGTCTGGTGTGCCTACTCTGGCCCATGCAACATATCATTGTCCTTCTTTAGGGGTCCCTTTCAGATCTTTGATACTGCATCTGTCATATACATGTGTGTGTGTGTGAATCATATATATCTGTCTATATCTATGGCTGGATGGCTCTTTGTCAGAAGGGTGTTGATTACATTTTTTTGCCTTGGTGAAGGGAGTTGGACTGGATGGCCTTAAGGCAGCATTTCTCAACCTGGGGATCTGGACCCCTGGAGGGTTGTGAGGGGGTGTCAGAAGGGTCGCCAAAGACCATCAGAAAACACAGTATTTTCTGTTGGTCATGTGGATTCTGTGTGGGAAGCTTGGCCCAATTCTATCATTGGTGGGTCTTTGATTGCAGGTGAACTATAAATCCCAGCAACTACAACTCCCAAATGTCAAGACCTATTTCCCCCAAACACAATCTGTGTTCATATTTGGGCATATGGAGTATTCGTGCCAAGTTTGGTCCAGATCCTTCATTGTTGGAGTCCACAGTGCTCTCTGGATGTAGGTGTACCACAACTCCAAAACTCATGGTCAATGCCCATCAAAGTCTTCTAGTGTGGTCATGGGAGTCCTGTGTGCCTAGTTTGGTTCAATTCTATCATTGGTGGAGTTCAGAATGCTCGTTGATTGTAGATGAACTATAAATCCCAGCTACGACAACTCCCAAATGACAAAATCAATTTTTTGAGTGATGGTCATTCCTTGGGTTAGTAGGTGTCTTGTGACCAAATTTGGTGGCAATTCATCCAGTGGATTTTGAGTTACGATGTCACTCAAAATGAACAGAGCATTTTAATATATATAGATAAATCAATAAAAATATATATACTTTCTAATTTCCTCTCCTCAGTGAGATGTGTTTTAAGAGCTGTTCAACAGCAGGAGCCAAAGCAACAATCAAGCACAAAGCTATGCCTCCAAAAGCATTTTTCAAATTAGATGGTTATTTCTGCTCTAATTTTCTTAATTTAAGGACTAAAAGGGGGAGGGCACAGTACTCACAGGACTGCTTCCAGATAACATGATGTCTATGTGTTTTCCCTGAACTGAGTTATCTGTGAAGCAACCTCTTTCCTATATATTACATTACATTACTTTTTTAATATGACTTTATTACACCTCATTAGGCAAAGAAGTGACTAGTTTGGATGCAAACTGTGTTCCTTCTGCTCCTGAATGCCACACATTGCTCAAATGTACATGTTTAAGTAAAGACCAGTTCCATCCAGATAAGGTCTTTGGAAGCATCATGCTAAAAGTCAGCCTTGACTCTGAAATCCCATCCTTGACATATACCAGATAGCAACTGAAGCACATCATGTTTGTCCATTGCACAGGGAAAAATGTTAAAATGGATTCCATATAAGGCCAACAACAGGAAAATAAAGCTCTCTGAGAACATTATCATAAATCTATGCAGTACTGTAAACTTCCTTGATAAAAGGAAGGTGTAGAGAGGGTAAAGGAACTTATGTAATCTCTTCTTATTTCCTGTGGTTTGCAAGAGATGCAAGGCTTCCTTTGTCTTTGCAAGGGGGAAGGGAGCTACTTCACAAAAATTTCCAGATTGTCAACCATATGGCATAAAACATTTCTTAAAAAGATATTCCCAAATCTTTGCAATCCAAAACCAACATAGTGGCATTTTGCAGACCCCCCCCCCCCGCTCCCATTTTTCTCAAATGTGTTAGAAAATAACTCCCATCAACTCCAGCCAGC